GTTGCCACAGGCTTGCGGCACAATGGCGGCGCCCTTAGCGCCTTCGGTCTTTGACCAGCGCCTTGAAGTGCTAGCCAGACTAGCCAGACTCGTCGACCAGATCTGGCTGCACTCCTTGTACTACTGGAGTCTATTCGGAATCTACTCTGTCGCTAGACTGACTGGGCGGTAGGCCAACCCTTGGGGATAAGCAGCTGTACCCTATTGGTTGCCACGGCGCCACGTCGCAGAAAATCGAATCAATATTCGATTCGTTGTCGGAATTTTAAATCGCCGTGGATCGTGAAAGCGGAATTTCGGGCCTGCTCGCCTTGATTGCCTAAGCGAAACCAAGACGGTCGCGGCTGGCGAGGCCAAAAGCGTTTCGCGGGGGCCGACTTATGGACCGCCGATGGCAGGCGATCTCGCGCCTCGCGACCGGGCCGGCCTGCCAGGGGATCGCGCCTGGTACAGTTACTAATTTTCCGCCGGTCCAAATTCGCCGCGGAGTACAGGATTTCCGCCTGTACCAAATTTTGCTCGCTCAGCGGGTCGGTCGCGCCGGAATTTGAGCGAATTTTGAAGCGAATTCGCCCGCGATCGGACGGCGGCGAATCCCGCTCGGCCAAATTCGCGTTAATTTGTTGAACGTAAATCCTCGCGAACTTCGACTCGCGACCAGCCGACAAACACTAAACTTAAGCTACATTGACGCGAGACCCTAACCCACACCCTAAGGCGTTCGGCCGGCAACCTACCCCCACCCACCCTAACCCCCCGACCTAACCCCACCAAAGTCACTCGGTTGCTCGGATTGCTGGTGGCTCTGGCGTCGACAGTCACTAGTACGGTTCGGAAAAAGTTCGGCTACTTTGTCCATTTTGCGGTACTGACTATTAGGGACTGGTGACATCGGAGTTATCTGACGGCCCGGGGGAAGCCTCCGGAATAATCTCCACCGTCCGATGGACCCCCCCATTGAAAAAAAAGTTGACTCCAAAAACACTCGCAAGGCCGGACTCCGGACCGGGTTAGCCCTCGGTTAAATCGCAACTCGCCTCAGATCACTCGCGCCGCAATCGACGGAACCGCAAACCCGACTCGACCCACCGGGCACTGACCCCAGTCTGACCCCTCCCTGAACATCCGGAGCACAGCTGCCACGTGGCGTATCCAAACGAAAATTGAAAACCACTGGTGACTGAACGTGCCCTAAATCTACTGGACAGTTATTGCTGTTCACGTTACGTAAGTCCCCGTCATGCAGCCCCTGGTACATACATACCTGTAACTGCTTTGAACCTCAAGTCCAAGACCGGCTAGCAGTGATGCCACCCCTGCTAGTGCTTGCGGCTGAGTATCCCTGAGCAACTTTAGTCACCAACTTGGGAAGCTCACACTTTCTTCTGCGGCAGATACGCATCTCTTATTTTCTTTGCGCTGGTCAAGCAGCATGGCTAATCTCATAAAATTGCCCGCGATGGATGACAGGCAGCTTCAGCAGGAGTATGAAACAGCCGAAGGAGAGCATTTGCGGGCTGTGACCAACGAGCTTGTGAGGCGCAGCAGGGCGGAAGCAGAGGAAGCTAGGGACGCCCTTGCAGAAGAGAGAGCCAACTCTGAGAGGTTCAGGGCTGCAGTCAACCGCCTTGCTCTGCAGCATGAGTATGTCCTACGAGAAAATGATGTTTTGGGAGTTCCGGTGGCATACTTTGATGCAGTGTATCCATCCAGATTGCCTTGTTCCTTGCAAGCTCGTTATGGTATGACGTATGCGTAACGTTTTTCTGACAGATTCCCAGACTCCATGGATCGCACCACCCTGCAAGAGTACCTGGCCAACAACAACTTGGTGACTGGTGTACCTGAATCTACTGTCTTGCCTGGAGAGCGGCCCAGGGCCTGGACTCGGAGCGACTTGACCGATTTGCAGCTTGTTCGAAATTACTGCAACATAGCTCAATGATGCTACTTACTTCTGAGCACTTTTGAAAAATTAGATAAGGTAATGGCAGGCCTTGCAGAATAGGGACTTTAATACCTTTCATATTCTGTATCCAACTTTCAGCCATTGATTGACATTAACTTTGATACACTGAGCCCTACTCGAGCGAGTACATTCCTTGACTGGACGGCAATGGTACGGTTGTATTCTGTAGATGTACTCGGAAGGCAATAGTTGACGAATTGGAAACTGCTCGAAGTCTGAAGCTGCTACTCTCTCTTGTTCGTAACGGGCCTATTTTCGGGGCAAGGAAGAACTCGAGTGCCCAGGTCCAACAGGGTTTTCTGAGCTCCCAGGTCTACAGGGTTTGTTGAGCTCCCAGGTCCAACAGGGTTTTTTGAGCCCCCAGGTCTACCCCAGGGTTTTGTGAGCTCCCAAGTCTACAGGGTTTGTTGAGCTCCCAGGTCCAATAGGGTTTGTTGAGCTCCCAGGTCCAATAGGGTTTGTTGAGCTCCCAGGTCCAACAAAGTTTTCGAGCACCCCATGGTTTTCTGAGCTCCCAAGTCTACAGGGTTTGTTGAGCTCCCAGGTCCAACAGGGTTTGGGTTTGGAAGACTTCCACCGTTCTACTTCCTTATATATCGTCGTCCGACTCGTCGTCCAAGACCACCACGGCGCACGCGAGGGCGCCTATCATCGAACTGTAGCAAGCCGTCGCGAAGACGACCAGAGCATCGAACAAGACGGGCATACTCGGTAGTAGTAGGACTGTGCAATACATAAATATTCTTCTGGCTAGAAGATGCGCTAAGAAGCACGGGGAGCAAATGGCAGGTTCGGTCTGCCTAATGACTCCTCACGAGAAGCTTGGGGATGCTGACGTGGCAGTTCGGAGGGAATGTGTCTTGGTCGGGCACTAGCGGGATCTGTATCCCTAATGGATTCGTTAATAAGACGCATTTTAGAATGTGTCTTACTGAGGATCCTGGAGCCTGTATTCTCTAGTGATTGTCTTAGTTAAGACAGTAAGACAGTAAGACGCATTTTTTAGAAAGTTTCTGAGATCCGGGGACAAGGATATTGGAACTTCGGGATCCTGGAGCCGTCCCCAAAAATGCGTCTTTGTGTCTTGCGTCTTACAGGGTGGTATGGGTGGGTTGGTACAACGTCAGCAAAATAAAGCATCTTGTGGTGAGTCCGACGGTTTTTTTCTTAATAGATTCCCTAGTGATTACATCACAAGACAGTCAGTCAGACGCATTTTTTAGAAAGTTTCTGAGATCCGGGGACAAGGATCTTGGCATTTCGGGATCCTGGAGCCGTCCCCAAAAATGCGTCTTTGTGTCTTGCGTCTTACAGGGTGGTTGGTGCCACGTCAGCAAAATAAAGCGTCTTGCGGTGGAGTCCGAGGTTCTTTCTCTTGATGAATTCCCTAGTGA